GCAGGCACTTGTACGGAGCTCTACCCCACACTGAGCTCCGCTGGGCCAGGTTTCTAACGATAGGAGGCCTAGGCTCATGGGGTTGCCCCTCCCTAACGCTCCCTAAAATATACTACGTATCTTGGCGGATTGAAGGGTGTTCCACTCACGATAACTATCACCGACTATCACTGAGACACACACCAACTTCTAACCTAGCTCGTCATAGATCATGAAAAGCCCCTACCGACCCGGTTACTTTCTCCCGACGCTCATCAATAATTGTTAATTAGATTAGGTTGTCTCATATATATAACCCTCCCTCCTACGCGCCGGCGCCTTTTTCTATCTACCTCTCAGAATGACCTTACTAGGAAGTTTACAGAGGAGTCTGACCTCCACTTCACGAGTCGCTATTAGATCAAACTTCCAAAGAAATACTCTCCCACTTGTCATATCAAGACGAGCATCTAAAATGGTGCCGAAAGTAAGTCTTCACAACTAAATATCTCACTTACAGCCACCTCCCACGTCCAAAGATGACAAACGTCGTACTCACTAGCCACTACTACGACTATAGCTCAAGGACCCTTCCCTCTTCAAGACCGACGTCTGCTACGTAAACGGCGAATGGGTCAAAGCCGCGTCAGGTAAGACATTCGAAGTGCATGATCCGGCAACTGGCAATCTCATCGGCACGTGTCCCGAGTTCACCCGCAAGGATACCGAGAATGCGATCGCCGCCGCCGCCGTGGCGTTTCCCAGCTTCCGCTCGAAAACCGGTCGCGAACGGTCCAAGTTGCTGCGCAAGTGGTACGACTTGATGATGGAGAACGCGGAAGATCTGGCTACGCTGATTACGTGGGAGAACGGCAAGCCGTTAGCAGACGCCAGGGGCGAGGTCACCTACGCGGCCAACTTCTTCGAGTGGTTCAGCGAGGAGGCCCCGAGGGTGTATGGCGATTCAATACCGGCTAGCATACCAGGAAACAGGGTGGTCACCGTCAAGCAGCCGGTGGGCGTCTGTGGATTGATCACGCCCTGGAATTTCCCCGCCGCCATGGTCACGCGCAAGATCGGTCCCGCCTTGGCTGCAGGCTGCACCATTGTTTCCAAGTCGCCGGGAGAGGCCCCGTTCACGTCTTTGGCTATAGCCGAGCTGGCCCATCGAGCTGGGATCCCGAAGGGCGTTGTCAATTTTGTGACAGCTGATACAAACACCCCCGAGATCGGTGAGACCCTGACAACGCATCCTACCATACAGAAGGTTTCTTTTACGGGATCGACCAACGTAGGAAAGCTCCTTATGAAACAGGCATCTTCGACTTTGAAGGTGTTATCTATGGAACTAGGAGGCAATGCGCCGTTCATCGTCTTCGACGATGCTGACGTAGATGCGGCGGTCGCGGGCGCGATCGCCTCCAAATTCCGCTCATCCGGACAGACGTGTGTGTGCGCGAACAGAATATACGTTCAGAAAGGTATCTACGACGAGTTTGCCAACAAGTTTGCCGAGAAGGTCAGAGGTTTCAAAGTCGGCGCTGGTTTTGACGACGGCATCACTCACGGACCCGTCATCCACAACCGAGCTGCTTCCAAAGTAGAATCTCACGTTAGGGATGCCGAGAAGAAGGGCGGAAAGGTCGTCGTCGGCGGACAGAAGCTACCAGAGCTAGGTTCTAACTTCTACCAACCTACCGTCATCACCGGCATGACCAAAGATATGGCGATCGCAAGCGAAGAGACCTTCGGCCCTGTCGCCGGCCTGTTCCCATTCGCCACGGAAAAAGAAGTCGTTGAACTAGCAAATTCCGCTGAGGTTGGTCTTGCAGGCTACTTCTTCTCCCGGGACCTGGAGCGAATCACCAGAGTCGCTGAGGCTCTGGAAGTTGGAATGGTAGGTGTCAACACCGGGCTGATCTCTGATACGGCCGCGCCATTTGGTGGTGTTAAGCAGTCCGGGTTTGGTCGGGAAGGATCTAAATATGGAATCGAGGAGTACCTACAGATCAAGACGATTACATATGGAGGCATGAGCAAGCCATTGCAGAGTTAACGAGTAGAAGAAAGATATCTATGATAATATGATGATACCTCGTCTTCAGAAAGGCATAGGGGATCAGTATGCATAGCTTTATATAGAATTACCAACATCGTCCCGGGTCAAAATAATAAAAAGAACATAACCCCTACCAAATTATAGCTGGAGAGCAGTGCCCTCGATATGTGGGTAACCCTAGCATTATATGGCATTACTGCATAATCCGGAATTTAAGCCGGTGGCCCGTGTCAAAGCTTTCGAGCAAAATCATCAAAAAAATTCCGGAAGGCTCTCAACAACTTCCTCATTAGGTGCCTACCACATCTTAATCGGCCCAATGATCCGGAATCCACTGCAATCGGTCGTGGGCCGCGCGAGGCCAGACCTCAATCGGGTCTCCGATGGCATCGCAGCCTCCCTGCGACACTTCTCCGCCGCGCAAAGACTCAGCGAGGACGACGACAAACCCCGACGGCCGTCCGGCCGTCAGCGCGCCGCCGCCGCCATGGAGGAGTTGCTGACAATTGCCACGAGCTCGGGGCCGAAACTCACCAGTAGATCCCCCAACAATGAAAGCACCTCGCGTCCTCCTCCCGGACCCCAAGCGCAGGGGCCCAATATCGTTTCCGTCAAGTCTGGCTTCACCGGCTTCACCAAGTTCGATCCCGGCGATCGTCCAGGAGGTAGAGGGGGTCGGGGCAGCGGGGACGCGCCCAGGATCATCCGAGGCGGATTCCGTGGCCGCGGCCGAGGCGGCGGTAGCGGTGGCTTTCCCGGACGCGGAAGGGGCGGTGCCCCCAGCAGAGGAAGAGGGAGGGGAGGAGGCGGAAGAGGAAGAGGAAGAGGCGGAAGAGGAAGAGGAAGAGGAAGAGGACGCGGCGGCCGTGACGGGGTGCGAGACGACGAAGACGACAATGACGCTCGTCTGAGGAGGCGGAGGGAGAAAAGAGCAGAGGAGGCCGCCGCTAATGAATACACTCCCGAGGTAAAACAGTACCTGGACCAACTGGACATGGGCACCACGCAGAGCTACAATCCCGGGATCACGCTCGAGTCGCTCGCCGGCTGGGGCCCCGCCGTCGCCACGTCCGCGACGCCGTTCGGTCAGGCCCAGACCGTCATGCGGCAGGCGAGAATCCTCGGGGGCGGACAGGCGTTCCATCCCCAGCGCGTCATGCATCCCGACGAGGCGAGGGCGCTTTATCGAGACGGCACCGGGCTCTTCCTCCCGTCGGCGGAGGCGAAGGACTGGACCGAGTGGACTCTGAAAAAGAAGTTGTCGTCGCCTCCTAGCGAGGCCAAGACCGCCGTCCTGGAGGCTGCTCTGCTGGGCCAATACGACGGCCCGAAGTACGCGGACTCGAAAGACACAATCGGCGTTGTGCAGAGCTACGTGAAGAGGGATGGGACTTGGAATGCTGCGGCTGAGAGACGCATCGCGGAGAAAGTCAAAAGTCTCCTGCCTGAGCAAACTGGTGCGTCCAAGGCCAGCGGCGGTGCCAAGCCAAAAGCTTGATCTATGCTCGCCATGGGATTAAGATAAAAATATAGATGTGGCTCGAGACCTCTCGATTTTAGTCCTAGACTCCTTGTATCACGAACAATGCCTGTAACAGTACTTCATCTGCTGTGTATGCATATACTGTACATTGCAAACCCAGTTATTCGGCTCACACTCAGCCATAATCATGAATCTGCTCTAAACTCGTACATCTATATATCCTTATACATATGTGTATCCTCACTACTGGATCTACTTCGCCTCTGCAGCTTTGAGCGCCTCCTTCTCCAGATTGTCAATCTGGGTCATGTAGATCTTGATGAGCTTCTCCAGCTCCTTATCCGCAGTCCGCTTCAGATCGGGCGGCACCCTCCCGTCCTTCCTCAACACAGTATGTAGCTTATCTCTCTTCTGCCTGATGCTCCGGACCCTGTCGCGCCACTCGAGGCAGACGGCCTTGACGCGCTTGAGCAGGTCGTCGCGGCCCTCGGGCTCGATCTTGAGCACGAGCTCGAGCTCGTTGTCCGGGCCCCGCTGCGGCTGCTGGTTGAAGTCGGGACTGCCCTGGATGGCGCTCATGATCGGCTTGACGTAGGCCTCCTCGTGCGCCAGCAGCGATATCGTCCTTCCGCCCCGCGGGATCACCTGCGCCACCTCCCGCAGCGGGTACGTCTCCATCGACTTGCGGTCCGGCTGCACCCGCAGGCCCCCGATGACGTCCGGGTTGAACCGCCCGCCGTTCCGCAGTTTCTTCAGGCCCTCCTGGAAATGCTCGGCGTGCTTCCGCAGCCGCGACTCCACGTCGGTGAAGTCGAAGAGCTCCTCGCTGGGGTGTTTCGATGCGTTGTCGCCGGCGCCCGCATCGGCCGCTTCCTCCGTCCGTGCTTTGTTAGACTTCACCCTCTTCTGGGCGCCGAGGGTCGCATGGAACGTTCGAACGCCATTGGGGATTCGGAGGCTGGTAGGAGAGGTATGTCGTAGGAGGGGCCTGGTGGTGTTGAAGCTGCCTGCAGCGAAGCTTGGTCGGCCTGGACCGCTTGGACGGGCTACATCGTAGCAACTTTTTTCAGAATTAGCATGGAATTACTAGGGTTAATTGGGATCAATTAGGGCCAATTGGAATAGCTCGCTCACACGCTTCCGGACTTGGAATAAACACGGCTCTGCCGTAACAGTGTTCTGGCGGTTAGGCTCATGGTGGCTTTTGGCTTGAAAGATCCCTTCTACGGAGCTACCAAATAAATTTCTACGTCCGCACTTCATAGTAGAAGCTACATTCATGAATACAAGGTACATACTTAGGAACCTAAGTACATAGGTACGCATGTACCGTAGTCAGTCTCCACTTTTGCAGCTTGGTGGAGCTCCGACTCCCGCTATGTGCGTTCTCCTTAGGGCTTACAAACGCGCTAGCTTTATGAGCCGACGTAAGAATCTCGTTATACCATGCCAGTGATTGGTGGTTTACGACACCCGAATGGTCGACTGGTGTAGTGGTTATCACGTTTGTCTTACATTAACAATCTCTTGTATTGTAAGGAGCACAAAAGGTCGCAGGTTCGATCCCTGCGTCGATCACGGAGTTGATTTTTTTTTTTCCTGTTATTTTCCTACCTTTTATATATATACACACTTTTGAAAAAAGAAATATGTGCTATAAAAATCCTAACTGTATTAAAAATCTGTTACTATATTAAGCACTAGTAATCGCATTATGAAGTTGGTGAGTGAACTAAGACTCAACAGTAGAGAGCCCCCCGACTACTTCCCCTTTGCTTGTTGACCCCCTTTCTTCATGTCGGCCACATAACGCTCAAGGTCCACACCCCAACAACAACAACAATAGTGAGAGGGAGAGTAATGGCTGGGTATAACCAGACATCGCTATAGTCAAGGTCGAGAAAGTCATCGAAAAGAGCGTCTACAGTGTACAAACGTTAGTCAGTGTCATCACCATACATGATCTACCTACAGCAACAAAGGCGGCCGGCAGACATATCATAGTCAGCAAAGCAATTGACTTCATCTGTTTTCCATCGCTCAGGGTGATATCCGAGATCTTGACCGTCTCATTTGAAATGCGCATGTTGTCTTGAGCAAGGACCTGGGTCCTGTTAGTCCCGTCGTAATAAGTTTGTCTTTTGGTGGGAACCATAAACAAGTTAGTAGCTAAGGTCATTCCGTTGATAACATATCGCATTCCTTGATCCATCCTTCGTAGTCCAAAGTAATCTCTGCGAGGCGGGCTCGAATTCGCTGCCCGGCATCGATAAACGTATCTCTAGCTTGCTGTGTTGTTGCCGTTGGTGCTCTTACTTCTCCAGTTTGAAGGCCATCGTTTGTCTCAGTTGGCTCAACCTGTTGATAGCGCCGGTGCTCTAGTTCGTCGACGTGAATTATCATCTGAGCGAGAAGCTTGGTCCAGCGTCCTGCTTCATTCTTGATTGTGTAGGGATCAAGCCACTGGTCAATGGGCTGCTTAGCTTTTCCAAATGCGTCATACCCTTCGGCTTGAAGCACGTCGATATCATCCTCCAGTGTCTTCTTTCCGTTCCTCACCAAGCTCATCATCCGTAACCGCTCAATCTCGACAAAGATACCGACTAGTAACATTGGATGGGAAAAAGCATCTTCGGAGCTTTTTACTAGCCTATTAGTAACCCGTGCCATGATACTGTTGTTTAGCTGTTGCTCGCTGCAGTCGTAGAATATGCCATAGTTGCGCCTATAATGTGGAAAATAGGTCAGGGGCAGTGCCATGTCATCTTTCCAGAGTGCGGTTGAGCGACAGGTGGAAACTTGTAGTCGCTTGTTAGTAACCGTACGCTGAAGGTGATGATTGCGGTTTATGAGTACCTATAGCGGGGGATGACAGTCCGCTACTAGGCATGTAAGCGTGAGAAAAGTTTGCGGCATAGTTACGGCTGATGACTCGTGCAATTGACTCATGGACGAAAAACCGATTTAGGATGCGTTCGAATACACGCTGCGTGAAAGGCAAGTAACTCAAGCCTGACGCGTTTAAGACCCTGCTAGATTCCCCCGGCGTTTGTCCTGCGAGACTTTTCACGAAGTACTGTTAGATTCTTTCATATAGTGGAAGTGTTGATGTAGCTTACATGACAGAAGTTATGAAACGGTCTGGATCTTCTTGCTCATTTTCTTCCTAATGCCATGTCAGCATCGTCTATCAATCATTACTGTATGTTTGATTTTGATGTCGGCTTAGAAACATACATCCTAGAACCATTAGAGCCATTCAATTTCTGTATCTAAATCCTTGGTTTTCTAAGTGATGTATCGAACGGAAACCGACCTGCTATCGCAGGGTACTAGACCGACTCATACGGCCATTTTCTAGTGAGGCGAAGCATAACACGTAGGCAGGCAGGTTAAGGCAGGCAAGCTCGCATATGTGGTGGCATTGCTCAAGTTGTGTTGGTTGGGTTATTTTTTCCACACCCGCACATGAGCTTCCAAGACTAACCTACCTAATATTATCAGTATTAGTCAGGGGGCTGTTGATTCGGGTGATCACCAATATGTCGGCTGCAGCCGAATAGGGATAAGAGTATCAGCTCTGTAGCTTAACACTAACTTCTTCGGTAGCCAGAAGCAGGCTATCGGGAAATCGAACACTGAGCGGTGCAAAGAGAATGCGGCTCTGTGAATGATGCCCAAAGAGTGTACGATCAGGATGAAGCTCTCTTAGCGGCCCAATGTTACACTTCATATATATAGCGAGAGCATTCCTTGCCGAACGAGCTCTGGTACCAACAACCAACAGCACTATTCCGTCAGCATTCTTACAGCAGAAGAGGATCACGATATGGCGTTCCACAACTTCTCAATCGAATATATGGACAGTAGGAAGCTGGTACAAGCCCTAAACCAACTGTTAGGCTGTGGGCGTTATTCTGTTAATGTGAGCTCAACACTAACATACATACCTACAGCTGCAACTAGTATCACGCCAACGACCAAATCGTTCCATTAACAACTTTTATTAGCCCCCTGCACATGGAATGTACAAAGTTTGGGTCACCGATCCTGGGTTGTCAAGTGTATGTATGCTAGACTCCCTTTTTTCATCCGCGTAGCACTGATTTCTATTACAGGAACAGTATGACTGGGTCAAGGCATTTGCTACGAATAGGGATTACGAAACACAAGACTGAAGTGCTCGTATAAATAGTTTGTTCTGGGGTGTAATAATCTATGCGATTTATAGAGCGCTAGACAAAGCTATTCGCATATCATTTGCCCTCGGCCCAAACATGAAAATGAGCAAAGTTGTTAGAACGAGGACGATGAGGGCGACTGCAGCGACAGCAAGCCCATTGTAATTTATGGTTCGGTTAAGTCGATGTATGTTCGCTTTTAATGTCATCATATTAGATTTCCAGATCGCCCACCTGCGAACCTCGCCGACGTCGCAGTACTGCTTGGATTCGTGACATCGGTCAAGGAAGTTCTTCAATGTCGATGCGACACTCGAGCAATCGCACCTGTTGTCCAATGACACAACCAACATCTGGGTCTCAATAAAATCTAAGAACTCGTGGATGAATGGAGAGCATCGGGGCTCCTTGTGAATGTGCATAACCCACTACAAGTACGTTAGTCTGCCTCTAGAACAAACAAATGTGGCCAAGGACTTCACCATCGAGATTACTAGAACATTCATACCTTTATCGCTTGATTTGACCATGTAAAACTCTCTCCTGGTGAGTGCGTGTGTCCTGCGGATGAAGAATTTGTCTTCCTGAATCTCCCCGTCATCAGGTTCCTCGTCAGATTTCCATCTGCGACAGGAAAGAGAAGATGATATTTGCCGTCTATTTCATAGGTCGCTAGTAATTTCACGATGTATCATTCATTTCGTTGGCTGAACTTCTTCATGGCTTCGACCTCTTGATCAAATTCTACTTTGTGGTGCTCCGGATTCCATGGAGTCAATCGCTTGTTCATTTTTCTTCCTCCCCTGTAAGCACAACTTGAAATAACAAGTGTTAATACTTTACGGATGCGGAGTCATACGTACCTCGTCGACTAGTTAGGTAGTTATGATGAGCAGGGTGAATCTTGACTCGGCGAAGCTTTCCGAAGAAGGCAGCAAACACAAATTTTGGCCGACCATCTAAGTCATCCGTTCCAGGCTTCATAAATGGAAGAATGTCACCAGAACTGAGTGAATAAAAATGGACTTTCTCCCCAAGGTCCTCCGCTCTAGCGAAGAACGGCGCCGACACGACCCACTGTTGGCGTTCGAAGAGTGATATGTGAGCGGGTTCCCAGTTGCGAGTAGTCTGTAGTAGATACGTTGATGGAAGATCATCAGTCACAGACCTAGCTACGAGCAAGTTACTAAGCTGTGTGCTGTGTTTTTTAAACGGCAAGTCTGTATCTCGTAGATTCTCCTCTACAAAGTCTGCGATGATTTCGATTTGATCCATCATGACCAACGTAGCAAAGTTCTTCTGAAGTGAGGTATACCGAGTTCTCGGGTAGTTCCTGTCTTCAACAACTTGTCGCCAACATATTTGTTGTGCGGAAACCGGACGACGTATAGAATGCTGACGCAATTCATGATCAACTGCCTTCTCCGTGACGATGGCCTCCAGAGCGTCCAATGGAAGGAATTCTTTTCCATCGGCGTTTTTGACCAAGGCATCTTGTAATTGTTTGGCCGTAGATGGTTTGTCTGTCCTTTGCCATGCTCCTGTTCCTGTCATAACATCATGAGAAAGTTCGGGTGGTACTCGGATGGAGTTTTCCGTAGCACTAGTATCTCGAAGTCGTTCACTATCTCCTCGGTCATACAATGTACTGGGGTACGACTGTAATTTTCCAACTGATAAACCGGATGCTGTAGTATCTTTGACCTGACTCTCGACATCGTCACTGTCGCTTGCATAGTTGATAGTCAATGAGACTTCGCCTTCATTGTCAGACAAATTGTATGGGGCACCCTCTGAGGCGCTGCGGACATATTTGGCTTGATGAATCTAAAATATTGTAAGCTCAGTCTTCATTGAATTTGAGATAATTACGAACAAATTCTTGTACCTCTCTGAGATTCACCTAGAAAGCAGCTAGGTCAGCACTGTTGGACATAATAGCAGTCCGTGGGTCAACTTTTTCATCAATGGTGGCACAACCCTCCAATGTCCAACTGACTCACTAAGAGTCAGTGAGGGTAACCTCTGCGTCACAAATATGACTGCGGCTGTGACGGTGGAACGTACCATCGGTTAGGAGACTTGCCCTTGTCTTGGGGGTTAAAAAGGCCTCACATCCTGTAGGCTTTACCCAACTTTCTCCCAAGTTCTGTTCCATGTGCACCCAACACAGTTGACGGAAAATCCATAAACAGTCGTATCGAGCCCAGTTCAGACAACATGGAAAACTTCTTTGTGGTTTCGACGCGTCATGTCGACCCGGTCAGACTTGCGAATATGCTGAGGAGCAGGTTTGGACGCGATGGGTATCTCATTGAGATGCGACACAGCACTTACAAGGTATACACCAGACGCCGCTTGACAGAGGTATGTGAAGGCGACTTTTCATTCATTGGC